TTGTCTCAGTTTTGCAAACAATGATAAAAGATATGATCATCTACAATATAACCCTGATAATCTGTATGCTGCAGCCTGTTGCACCTAATGGTCCTTGTGTTTGTTTTTCTTTCATCAGCAAGAAAATGAATGCAAGGACCAGTTCCTTGACATTACTGTCTGTTCTTATGAATCTAGTAAAATAAGTAATGGCAGAGATAGGTTCAAAACAGCTACCATGGCATGTTGTGCATGTTCTTAATGTCAAGAGAGAAAAGGGATGGAAAGGATGACTTGATAGCAACCAGTGCTAGTTTATTTCTCAAACTATAGATCAGGGGTAGGCAACCTTTCCCCTTTAAGGGCCGAGGGACTTCAGCTCCCAGAAGCCTCAGCCAACTTGGCCAATAGTCCCATGTTGGCCAGTAGCTCCTGGGATTCTGGGAACTGAAGTCCCTCGGCCCTTAAAGGGGAAAGGTTGCCTACCCCTGCTATAGATTCATTGACTCCTTACTACTCCAATTTAATCCAAGTGCTAATACAGGGGAGAATTATGTGGTTGCATGACTTGGCTTCTCTATCTTGTAGCTTTAAAGAGATATTAAAACCCGTTAGCTGAGAGACACTGTGGGAATGAATTTGCAATAGTGCATAAGAGCATACTTGGTGGCAGTTGCTATTCATCTGCAGATATTAGGCAAGCTGTAGACTGCAAGGGTGGTGTTACTGAACAATTCCATATGCCAAAATAAATAAATAAATAAATATCTTGTATTTCGTAAATCATATCCTTTCATTTTTCAAGCCAGTCTCCTTTTAGTATTTGCCTTTCTTTGGTAATGTAATATGCAAATATGAAGCACACTTACTCAGCTTTATGTTTTTTTTCAATATATTCCTTTCACAACACTAAAAGGCAACAGGTAATTCTTCCAGTTGCATGTTACTCACATGTCCTTCTTTAACAAGAAATCCACTCACAATGTCAAAAGCAAAAATTGCTAAAAAGATTTGGAAAAATCTTGCATATTTCTACTGCAGTCATAAACTAAAGCTGTGAGAAGGATGATTTATCATATAGATGAGAAAGTAAAGTTATATTTCAAATATTAAAAATTGTTAATGAACAATTCAAAATATAATTAACATTATATTTTTAGATGTGGAGTAGTGGTTTGAGCATTGGAATATGGCTCTGGAGACCAGGGTTTGAATCCCAGCTTAGCTATGCAAACCCACTGGATGACCTTGGGCAACTCGCACTCTCTCAGGCTGAGACGATGGAAATAGCAAACCTCCTCTGAAGAAACTTGCCTAAAAAATCCATGATAGCTTCTTAGAGTCACCATAAGTCAGAAATTACTTGAAGGCACAACAACAGCAGCAGCAGCAGCAGCAGCAGCAACAACATAAAAATGAAATGTATATACCTAAATAATTCTGTCTCATGTATCACTCAAAGGACAGTACATTTAAAGGTAGTTTTATTAGATTAGCCAGAAATTGCATTGGTCATGGTGGCTTTGGCTGAGGGTTGCGGTCAACAATATTTGGAGGGCAGCATGCTTCCTGTACCTGGCTTAGACCAAGGATTGCAAATTCCAATGTAGCTCCCAAAGAATCAGTGTGCCTGAAGTGAATTAAAGAACTAATTCTAGTCACAGGTTCAAAAGCAAGGAAGTCCATGTCATTGCAAACCCCAGCCTGTAAAGCAGACAGTGCTTTAAGATTGTTGTTAGGCAAGCAAAAGAAGAGTCAGTGTTGTGCTAAAAGGCAGGAAAGGATAAGAAACCCTTCCTATAGTGCATTATAGAGTGTTAGGAAACATGAGCAGTACTGTAAAAGTAACATGAAATTTAGAAGTCAATGCTATGTTCCTTCCCAGGAAGATCATGGTTCATTAGAAAGGTGATTTGGGCAGGCATCCTTTTGCATGCTAATGAGAGCAAGGGTTTGTATGTTCATATGCAACAGGAACAAGGTATGTCTATGAACATATACTCAATGATAATATATACTAATGATGCCTCTGCAATTATGAGCTGGGTGTGAATGCCAGAAGAACAAAGAGGATGAAAGAATAAGATGCTTAATTCTCATCCTGCCTGAAAAATATTGTGGTTTATTTTTGTATCATATGTGTATCCTATCTCCTTCCATTGAGTTCAGACTATTATTTTTCTTATTTTATTTTCACAACAACACTGTGAGGTGGGTTAGGATGAGAGATAATTCATGGCTCAATGTGATCTAGACAGCATCTTGCTCAATGAGGTTTGATCACAGGGCCCTTTCACACTTTTGAATGTGCCTTCAAGTTGCCTGTTGATTTATGGCAATCCCATGAATTTCACAGGGTTTTCTCAGACAAGAAATACTCAGAGGTGGATAGCCAATTCTATCCTCTGAAATATAGAGTACAGCACCTTGTATGCATTGGCAGTCTCCCATCCATGTACTAACTAGAGCTGACCTCTGCTTAGCTTCCAAGATCAGACAGAATTTGATACCTTTAGGGTATTGAGGCCCCACTTGTCACACTACAGAATTATAATGCTATGGATCCACTTTAACTTCCATTGTCACATCCTATGGAATCCTGTTTTTTGTAGTTTCAAGAAATATGTAGAATTCTCAGTCAGGGAACTCAAGTGCCTCACTAGACTACAAAGCCCAGGATTCCAGAGAATAATATGCCAGTTAAAGGGCATCATAGTACTATAATCATGTACTGTGAAAGGCCTCCAGGCTTTCCCAGTCTTAAATTCTATCACTCATCCATGCTGGGCATCTGCTATTATATTAACAGTGCAATACTATGCAGGCCTATACAGATGCAAGTCCAAGTAATTTCAGTGAGCTGTACACTCAGATAAATGGGTATAGGATTTCAGCATAAAAGCAGCAATTATTTCATATGTTTGATGGCACTGGTAATGGTGTCTTTGAGTTTATGCCCTGTCTGCAAAACTGTTATCTTTTGGTAGAAGACACAACATTTATGTTTGTTTCTGGATAAAATGTCTAAACATTATTTTTTGAGGAAGGGTCTTAAGAAAACTAAGTCTGAGTATCAAAATTGTATTCTGTAAACTGTTTCAGTAATCGACCATACAGAATACTGAACCCACATTTTTTTTGTGCAATCAGGATGGTGAAAACTGGCTGAATGATGCATTTGCCAAAGTTGGCCCAAATACAACAGAACACTTGCTATGAAATGGTAATAGTGTTATTAGTATTTATTACTGTCGATTAATAGCAGAAAGCTTGCTGCTGTAGCAGATAGCCAAGATTTCACTTCATCCCTTGTCAATGTACTGTGATCACCACAAGGGAATGTGAACTGGCCAAAGATTATGAATAGCACATCACTGTGCTCCATCATTTGGCACTGTTTCTCCCAGTCCTGATGGTACCATTGTGCAGAAGCTAACTGTATTGGAATTGAGCCATATTGGGAGAATTCACAGCTGGCAAGAACTGGCTGAAGTCCAAGCAATGGCACATAGTGGCTGAAATGCGAGAGTGTCTGGCTGTTGTGCTCCATCTGTAAACCTGTGACTAATCTTTGCATATAAACAAAAGCATGTTCCAAACTTTCATGTACATGGTTTACCTAACCCCATGAGTTATGTCGAAGACACATAGACACATACTTTTGTAGGTAAATTTATCCACCATCTTTTAAAAAAATCAACTCATATTTTTCACGCTAGCAATGAAATGTGTGAGAACAAATTCGTATATGTGATGCCAGGAATGACAACCTGTGGCCCTGTAAGTGTTGCTAAATTACAGCCCCCATCATGCTTGACTGTGGGCTATGCTTGCTTGAACAGATGGGAGTTGAAGTATGATGCCATGTGGAGGGCTACTAGTTCCCCAGATGTTTATGAATCCCTCCCCAAACAAAAGATTCATTGCACATGAGCAGAATTCAGCTGCTTAAGGTAGACTCACTAACTCCCATTATTTCATCTGATCTGTAGGGGGAGAATCCAAGAATATAGCTGTTCCTATGGAGCTCTCTATTGGAAATCTGGCTCTGCACTTTTAGTCACTGAGATCTCACATGCAGACACACTTATTTATGTAATATCATGCATATGCTATAGTGAAGGTAGCCAATCAGATGCAGAGATGCTAAATAAATAAATAATAGGTATAGTACATATCTAGCACTCCAACCACTCTTAGATGCAACAGTGAAGAGGTCTACCTATTTATTGTATACTGTACTTATACATCTGTCTGCCTCTCCCCAATGATGCTAGTCCCTGTTTCATGACTCAATAGAACAAAAGTACATCTATCCCATGCATTAGAGAGCCTGAATATGCATGGCAGTTGACATTCAGTTGACTTGATTTGTTGCGCAAAATGTTGGCTATCATGGTGTTATAAGATCCTTTGCATTCATATCCCAAGAACAGAGACATGAAACATGTTTCTGGGGCTCAAAAGAATATTATACAAATATAAGGTATCTTCAGTGGGCACATAATATAATATCAGTAACCTCCAACCAGTATATATGTCTTATTACATGTGTTGGAGGAGTTCAACATAGTACTGCCCCAGCATTTTCTGGACAAGCTGTCCTGATGCACGGGCTAATGTCTAGTCTTTTACCAAACTGTGAGCCACATCTGAAAGTGCCAAGGGAAGTCTGCCCACTCCAACTCAACCATCACAGGGTTGCTATGGTGAACCAAGCTAAACTCACATGGAGGTCCTGTCCCTTCTAGCCTCAAACCCTTGAAAGGAGAAGCCCCCCAGGTTCTTCACAGATGCATCAGCATTGTGAACAGCCAGTTAAGATTTTTTCTTGCCTTAAACCCACATTGCATCTGCCAACCTGAGCAACATTAATATCTGCCCTGTAAGCAGTTTCACCACCAGGTCATTGTGATGTAAAATTCAGGGACTGGGAGTTCAACTGCCATCTATCCAATCTGGACCAATAAGGTAAAAAAACAGTAGGGACAAAGAGAGAGAGAGAGAAAAAGAGAGAGAGAGAGAGAGTAGTGTCGTGGTTTGAGCATTGGACTATGGCTCTGGAGACCAAGGTTCAAATCCTTGCTCAGACTCAGAGGATGGCATTGGTAAAGGCAAATCCCCTCTGAAGAAACATGCCAAGAAAACCCCATGATAGGTTCACTTTAGGGTTGCCACAAGTCTGAAATGACTTGAAGGCACACAGCAACAATAAGGTAAAAAATTATTACATGATTCCATAAGTGAAATGCCAGTGAAACCAAAACTGATACTGGTGGGTGCTGTGATGAAAGGGCAAAAGAAGAGGCTTTAGGGGAGGAGCTATGCTTTGAACTATGGCACTCCACACCCTCTGCCCCAACACACTGATATTCTCAGCCAAAGCAATTTTATCTCTCCCTGGGGAGCAGGTGTAAAGATTGCCACCTCCTCAGCATAAAAGCTGGGAAAGAGAAATTGCTGGCATTTTCTTTAAAAGGGGGGGAGGGGAGAGAAACATCTATTGAGGAAAAAATAGTTTGAGAAATTTTCAGTGTACTGGTGGGGCTGCTTTCAAATTACACTGAACAAAACTGAATACAGCATGGATCCTTTATGTTACTTCTCTGGGCACATGGCTGATCACACAAAGAGATTGTATTACAGAAGTAACATGTACATCTTACAAGTTTTCAGAAAAATCATAACAGCAAATCTGAGATAAATTGATATTTTTTGAAATTAATGAACTGGGAAATTGAAGTCAACATCACTACATAAAAAATGTATTAATGTTTCTTGTAAATGAATTAATGGGAAACATCATTGTGACAAAATGTAAACACCATAAGGTTAAAAGAGCCCAAATTATATTCCTGCCAAGGAGTCAAATATAATATAATGACAAAATTTAGCATCTCTGTGCTTAACAAGCCCAGTCCTTGTACCATGTGTGTCACAACAAGGGTCTACCAACTGGCTTGTCATCCAGAAGTGCTTTGCACAGTTACAGCTCCCGTGCTCAGGTGGCAGCAATGAAGGTTACTACTTCAGTTCAAGAGTTAATACCAGTTCCCAGTGCTTAGAACAAAGGCAGTAAGATCTCCCTGCATCTCTAGCTTGATGCAAGGTATTCTGATGGATACCTTCTGCCTGAGATTTGTTATGTCATGCACAGTAGAGCCCAGCAACTAGTCCTCTAAATATATATAAAAAAAGACCAAATAGCTAGCAAGTGGACAATTTTAATTGCCTGTATTTTTATAATGCCTAGACCGATTACAAAGCAGGTGTACTATACTTGACTTTGTTCTAAGAAAGTCATTGACTTATAAAAGCCAGCATATTATTAGGATAAAGTACAATTAACAGAACGTCAAAACTGAGGGTTTCCACTTAGACTTGAGTGCTTAGAAACAGAGAAGCAGCTAAGGTTAGTTGAATTTTCATTTAGGGAACTTGAGAAGTGTCTGGTCCTTGATTGGTGAGTGAGCTGGCCTTGTCTGACATTACCAAAAGTGACCATGTTGTTTCTCAGCTGTCAACATAGGCAGTCTCTAGGGAGTCTGGGCCACTGTTTGCCATTAACAAAACGCTAAGAGAAATATCACACATGTAGAAGGCAGGATGCTTTGCACAAAAAAATGTCAGAATTCTTTTCATTTTAAAATGAAGTCTTTACAGAATGATCTCTTGGAAAATTTATATTTTAAAAATAAAATAAAATGTATGGGGAAAAAGAAAAGAAGCCCCCCCCCCCCCCCCCCCCGATAGCCTATTATACTAGAAACGGATGGCAAAAATAATCTGGCAGCTACTGCATGTAAACTATGCTATAACATTAAATGCTGATAAGGTCCATCAATGGTCCATTCAGAGCCTGCTCTTTCCACTCTGCAAAAGAACAACAACAACAACACTCCACCATCATATCATGCTTGGTCTGTGATGCAGAGATAATCTCTACATGCAGAAGTTTATTACTGCATGTCACAGCTCGCTTTCAGGTGCAATATCCTTGCAGCCACAGAATCTGTTTCACATCTGTCACATGCCTAATCCAACACATAGCTTGCTCAAGTACATGCCTGCAAAACTGCATGAGCAGTATTTTTCTTGGCCCATGTATTTTATGAAATGTGTTCTGTGTATGTTCTTAATTGTTTTGCAGACATTGTTGCTGCATGGTAGATTTTTCTTCATCCCCTGTGCAAATTGAAATACATGTGTATATGTATACCTCTGTATTAATAGTTCTTTTTCTCTTTCTTTCAGCTATGTCTGGGCTTGTAGTCCCGCCAATGTAAATTCATATTTGTTTACCTACTGTAGCACCAAGCTTCAGAAGATGAGCTTTTTAGGGGACAAGTTTAGTATATAAGACATGCTGATGGTACCAGTATCTTCAAAATACAATCAGCAAAACATTGAAATACTACAAAAAAAAACTTTGTTTAAAGATTTTATTTAAACTACTAAGAATCTACATGCAAACAATCAACTTCTTCATGAACAATTCCATTTTATTGACTGAACTACTCTCATATTTTCACATTTCTTGGTCCTGAAGAATAAGGAAAAAGCGACGCCTATTTTGTATAAAGTTTCTGATTACGTCTTGGCTATGTCTAGTACTTGCTATGTGTCGGGAAAAACTTTGTGGATGCACCATTTTGATTATCATGAAACACTGATGAAAAATGCCTCCAAAACATTTTTCTGTACTCATAATTAGATTCACAATGGTTGTGTATCTCTATAATGTGAAATATTTTTTGTGGTGAAAAAAGGGGGCCAAGGAGGTATGAGCCATCAAAACTGGAAAAAAAGATGAATATATGATTTGGGATAATTTGGGAAGAGGAGAGGGTGGGTGGGTTTATCATTGCTTAACTTCATCTTAATGAAATGGAACTTTGTAACTTATTGTAGTTAGAAATTGTAACTTTGATATTGAATTCTCTTGCCTTCAACAAGCACACTGACAGAGAAAAAATGCTACTGTCTGTTGGTTAAAAAAATATACTTCCACTGCTAGAGCTTCCTGTTAAGCAAGTGTGATCTGCAACATTTTTTCAACTTTTGCTAGCACTGTATACTATTGCATTCTTAGGCTACTGTGAAGTCTATGTTTCTTGTACCAGAAAATTGTCCTTTTGACTTCTAGGTCCTTCTTCCCTAATGTGTTTTGTATGTGGTTATAAAATTGTAGACTTTTGTGATTTTGCCAAAGTTGTAGCTAAATATTTATACACTTGTCTTGAATTTTTTTCAGATCCACTTAAATATTTAGAAGAGCAAATTTTATTCCTTATAAAAATAAGGGATAAAATAGTCATACATTGCAACACTTTCTTTCACATAAACACTTGCAATCACCAAGGGAGTTTATTTTGTAACATATTGATTATAAATATTGTATTTATCTTTAAAATTTTGTATATTGCTTTTCATTTTTTCCCCTTGTATGTATGTTTTTTGTCATTTGACTGGTATTGAGATGCTATGAAAAGCATTAAGCCAAGAACAGTTGCCTTCATATGTTTCTGTTAAAATAAATTTGTGTTCATTCATTTCATTTGTATTTCAAAAAGTTGTTATTTTTGGACGTTCCATCTTTTTGTTATTTTGAGGAAATACATTGTTTATTTTTATATTATTTTTAAGTTATCTGAACAAATAATTTTGAAATAAAGTTGTTTGTTGTATAGTTAAAACAAAATCGTGCCACATGGCTGTAATAAATACTAGTAGAATTCATGCATGTGATGCAGCCACAAGAAAAAAGAAGGTTCTCCTATTTTGTGTTTGGATTTTTTAAATTTGAAATGTTCCTCTGTTTTGCCTCATTCCTGGTTTCTTTTTTAAGAGATTGTAAAAACTCATTTTTAATTGCCACCCATGACTTTGCCACATAGCTGAACGGTGTTTACCGGGGGTCGGGGGGGGGAATCAGAGGCCTAATTCTTAAAAAAAAAATCACTTCTGATGTTTTAATTAAAGTATTTGCTACATTAACTTCTCAGATGCCTTAAAAGTAGACTTGTCTGAAGACCTTTTGTGCTGTTTTATCGTGGTCTTATGCCACAATTAATCACTACTTCATCTGGATGATATATGGTGTACAAAAGCACAAAACCTGGGGTGCAGTCTGTTAATCTATTGCAATTAGCAGTTTTCTACTCGTTTCAACAAGGCTTGTACCACCACCATGGGAATGACTTGTGTTGGCACCACAGCAGTGTTTGGTTGAATCCATCCTTGGTGTATAGCTATGTCACTCCCTTGTATGTCTGCTTTCTGCTGCATTCTGCATCATCTGTTACCCAGCACTGTTTTAGAGAGAAAGGCTTTATATGCAACTGGAATCACACATAATTTTATGAGTTGTTTCATTTCCAGAACTTTTGTTTTTGTGGGAAGACCTACATCAATGACTGTAATTTGTAAACTGGAACGACCTCTTTAATATCTTGTGCCTGTTAGTGCCAATCCATAGACAGCTGATTTCCCACCCCTCCCCTTTCTTTCTTTGCACTAAGTCCTTTGCAAATGCAGCACTGCAAAAACACTTTTGCAAACTGCAGCAGAATTAAAGTTCTAAGCAAAAAGGAGGGACCATTTTTAATACAAAAATGCACATTGTCAGGAAATGTTTATAAAAGGTTTTAAAATCGATACAAGATATCACAAATAATAAATGTACCAAACATTTATTCTGTGATAGCCAATAAGGCTTAGCTAAGTGGAAAAGCCTAAGAAGTCACTTTGAAACTGAATTGCCTCGGTTTTATTTTGAATTAATTAAAGTTTGGATCTTGAAAAAAAAGGTCATGCATACATGTTAACAAAGTTTGCAAGTTTACTTCATAAATGGGATTTGTTTTGTGAGTTAGATTACTTAGTCAATGCACTCATTGCTTCATTGTCTCCAAACAGAAAACTTCACTAAATGGTAGATTTTACTGTTAAAGACCCTACAATAAGATTGTTTTATCTGTACATTTTTCAGATATTTAACTGTATAAAATGTTCATTTTACACAATATTTAATTAAAGTATTTCTTGTCTGTGAATTTCACTTCTGGTAATTTTTTAGGTTTGATTATTAAAA